TGAAAATTAATAGACTATAATTGTATTAATATCCCTATGACCAGGCACAGTTTATGTACAGCATGGTCTTTCAATATTAAACAGTATACAGTAAATATTAAATTAAACAGTAATATTGAATCTGGCTATTTGAGTAGGCCTACAGTATAGTATCCCAGATATGGTATGTATTGTAGCAATTGTAGGCCTATGCCCCTATAATAGTACTGATTTTGAAGGATATAAACGTTTAGAAATGCTCGGAGACAAATTACGAGTACTTCGGACACAGTTGCTAACTTACAATTAAACATTTTAAAGAGAAAACCTATTTGCTGTATGTTTTTACATGATTCAATGGCTGATAATTACTTAAGGATTTTTTTTCTGTTAATTAAGTGAAAGCTTTTTTTCACTTCCGTCTGATTTCGACCGTTTTAACTAAGCTATTCAATTTTTTTAATTGGGTAGACAGCCTTTAATATAAAGAGTAAGACATATAATAGAATATCGTCAGATTTGGTATGTTTATTGCTGTATAAATCTATGCCTATTACTTTTATTTATATTGAATATGAACGAAATGTTTGTTAGAAATCAACATTATAACAATACTGGACATAGAATTTTCATATGGTACATTGTATGTATGCCATACTGTATTACTCAAATAACCGACCAGATTCAACGCTGCTTTTTATGCAACTATCAAAGACCATGATGTACGTAAACAGTGTCTAGGCATAGGGATATTATAATTAATACTAAACATTAGTCCATTAACTTTCACTGTGTTGACTACACTGTCTCGATCAACTACGGTACCAAGAGATTTTGGCCTACCTTACTAGAGTATACACCTTCGTAGCTTTCACATCACAGGCAATTTCATATTCCACAAGCAGCGAACACTGCTTTCGCGACTCGCGAGGGGAAAGTAATGGCATGCATATTCATGTCTATCAGTTCACCTAACTGACCTAAAATAGCGGCCTCTGTAATTTCTGCCTTAAGTGAACAGGAAAAAAAATAATGCGCCCCGGCATTACACAATTGACAAAATGCTAAGTATTAACTTACTTCTTTCCAATGAATTTGTAGAGTCTTTCTTCATTCCACTCAGTTGGTGATGTAATAATAACCAGTCCACTCGGTACAATTATCTCCCAAAGCCTCAACAGCCAAGCTGGAAAATTCCAAGGTGACAAGTTTTAATATAAAAGAAACTTAACAGATTAGTTCAAGCAATAGAAGGAATGGACAAGGATCAATCATCAGATTTCGTCTTGTTTTTCTCTTGTTTAAATACAGTACGGAGATACATCTGCTAAACATACAAGTCTTTGACTGTCTTAGATACACCACTGGGAAAATAAAGATTCTACAAAACATCCACAAACATAGTAACAGAAACATTTTTTGATGAAAAGTAGTGTGTCATGGACTGGGAAAAGAAGTCATAGGCCTTCTTCCTCATAGGCTTCAAAATAATAGATTTCTCAATGTTAGACAAAATATGAATTTGCAATCAAAGATGTTGAAATAGTCTTAATTTAGTCTTTAATTTGCTACATGGTAGAAAATGTAAATTTGATTTCTGATTATCAATGTATAAATTAATGTAAAAATAAAAACAAAAGCTTTTTGATATATACCAATACTTTTTGAGTTTTGTGACATAAGATGCTTTATAAATATATTTTATATATTATTAAGTTAAAAGTATGGTAATAATCAAGATTTAAAATAAGATAAATTAAATTATATTTATTATATTAATTGTATTAAAAATACTATACAAAATAATTATGCACATAATATCTTATTTCTTATTTATAGTAAAGTATTTTTTGTTGAATATCAACATTTTTGTATGCATTTCATATGTTTTTCAGGAAGAGTGAGATTAAAAGACAGGGAATATTTACACCCAAAATCATTTCACTTGATTCTGGTATATTTTATTTACACAATGCATTTTAAATTATTTCAAATAACTTTTAGACATATTACAATTTTGGACTTGCAAGGGAGAAAGTTTAGTAAACTTCATTCCCAGCTGGAAAATGGTTTATCACTCTTGCCTACCATGAGACACTTCTCAAAATTCATTCTATTGGCAAAGCATCTAGAAAATCTTAAAATTGCTTTTACTATAAGAATGCTTGCCAAAATTTGATAGGAAAACCAATGCTTTGTTTCTAAATATTACTAATGAATGAAGTTTCAGAAACTTGGGGTTTCCATACTTAAAGAGAAAATGGAGCCTTGAAATGTAGCTGTTGTGTTATTCAATAAACAACGATACTAAAGAGAGAAATTTGATGGTTTCATTAATCGTTCAGTTAAAAAAACAATCTTCATGTTAGGGGTTTATATGGTTAAGGCAACCACAAACTTGCAGAGATGTATTTAAGGTAGTAGGTTCCATAGACGAATGACTATATTTTTAAAAAGATTTAAATGTTTATAATTCAGTGGCTTTTGTGTTTCGCAATTAATTTTTATCATAACGTTGCGTTCTCTATCGCCCATGAACAGTGAGTTCCAGGGTTAAGTCATGACTGTAACATTCAAACAGTTCATAATCGAATTAATTGAATTGAATTGAATACCCTTGGAAACCTATTGATACCTGTTGGTACCTGTAAAAACCAGTTGAATTCCAGTTGATGTCTGTTAAAACCAGTTTATATTAACTATACACCCAGGATTTTTACAAGTCCCCTATTTTACATTCAAAACTAATTGGAAAAAATGCTGGTTGAAAAAGTTAATCTAGAGTGTTCTCTACTGTATATTCACAAACATACCATGTACAGATATACAAAGCCAGTTACGTGTACATCCCTATACTAAATACTTACTAAATTCAACTATTAAAACAATTTTTACCTTGGCAGACACACCTCTAGTTTTGTAAGTTCTGCATTTTGTTATGCTATTAATAAGATACTTTCTGTATACTTCACTATTTTACTAAATTTAGTTTTATACAAATAGTAGAGTACATACACTGGTATGTACCTCTATGCAATAAAATTTCCTGTTACATTCCTGTTGAATCAGATTCATATCTAAGAGCAGCATTTTACCAAGAATATTTCGAAGAAGTTTATTGCCAAAAAAGATTTTTTAAATATTTTTTTAAGCTTCAAGAAAAAAAAAATATTTTGCTTAAATTTGAGACGACCAATGCACATAATCAACACTGCAGGATTTGTATAAGTAAGCACATGGGATATCCGACGGAAGTTAGCATGTAGAAATCAAGTTACCTTCTATGTTCATGACTCGGTCTAGGAAATCAAGAACGACGAGATTGAAATCCATCAGTTCATTTGGAATCCATGTTAACTGGAAATAAAATGAAGGAATACAATTATCAAATAATATTATTATCCATGTAACGTATCTAGGGGATGCGCGGAAGGAGAAAGCTCACACACCCCTAAAAAAAAAAGCTTGTGCCCCCAGCCCCAGTCGTTCCCGAGCCCCAGTCGCTCCCCCATTGGAAATCTTTGAAACAAATCACATGCAGTAACTGGCTTTAGGCATTTAAAACAGCTCTTATAAAATAATTTTTTTTTTTTTTTTTTGGGCAGCTGCCAAAAGGAACATGCATATGATTTAAGGTTTCAAATACATAACATTTTAGCTGAAAGAAAATTGAGGACACAGATCCTTCAAATTTAGGCCACCATTGGCGTTCAAGTACAAACATTTAACATTTAATTGAGAAAGTCATTCAAACAATATAACAGGTAATGGAATACAGAGTTATTCAGGTTACCACAATAAAATCATAGAAAAAGACACCAAGTCCTGAAAATTCAATTTCATAAGCCTTTGATTGGTGAAATATAGTTTCAGTTGATTGACAGTTTGGGAAGGCTCATACCTGCTTAAATACAACTCTGCTTCTGTCAATATCATGAGGAACAATCGCCTTCCTTTTGCTCCAGGAATCATTAATTTGTAACTTCTTAGTGCTGCTAACGCCCTTTGGTCTGTATTCTGGATAATCTAATGTGCCTGTGTTTTGTAAAGCAATCGCTGCCTCAAGAAACCGACTACTGTAATCAAGACCGATCACCTTGATGGGGATGATGAAAAATATATAATTAATAAGGTCAATTAAACAATTAAATATAAAACGTTGTTGTGAATTGCTTAAAAATATACACAAATGCATCTATTATTGATATAATCAATCAAACGATAACTGGACAATACTTGTTTAAAGTCAGGTATGGGAAAAATTAAGTTGCAAGGTAAAACCATTCAAGAAAGCAAAGGAAAACATCAAAAAATTAGAGAAAAGTCATACAGTTCAAAAAACATAAAGGAAAGAAAAAAACACAGCTTTACACATCAAAAAACAAAAGAAAACATCAAGCAGACCAACACTCACACCAAAAGCAGAAATAATAATAATAATAAACTGATAAGGTCAGATGAAGCATTGGATGACCTTTTAAACCAGAAGGTTGGTTTCCAAAGGAGTGCAGAAAAAACTAAATTGATTAGAAATGTATAGTTAAACAAAACACAGTATTGGTATTCAAAATGGTCTATTTTCCTTTGAAAAGATTATACACACAAGCAAAATAATAAACAGTACCAAAAAAAAGGAGGAAAGAAAATAAAACCACAAAAACCATGGCATGATATAAGACAAAATGTTAAAATAGCATATAACTTTAAGAAAAATTGAAATTATTATTTTTATAATTATTATTATTATATATTAATTTAGCACAAATTTTATTTTTGAATTTTTTTTTCTTGTATTTCCAACTTTTGTTTATTTCCAAAAGCAGAAAAAAAAATAACAACAGGAATTCCATGCTTAAGGAAACATAAAAAAACATAAAGAAAAAAAAGACAAAAGACAGCAGTTGGAAAAAATTAGTTGCAAGACTGTAAGATTTGGTATAATCTTAAAATGGTAATTAGTGCTCTTAAAGCGCCACCTATTAGTTTTGTGTAGCGCCCTCGCTATTTGAAAGCACAGCCAAGCCAGATGAAGCTAGAGTGAACATGTTTTTGTTGAGCTGTCCAGAAAACTGATTAAAGTTAAAGCTGAAATGATGAATGTAAGTCTATGAAACTATATTTGTTTTCATTTGTTCATAGCATTTAGTATTATGTATTTAATGGCAAGATTGACATTGAACATGTGTTAAATTGTATAGGCTGCCATTTTGAATGCTATAGGCTTAGGCCTAATGAACAGTATTTGATTGTTTGGTTGTCATGCTATGTTAGACCTAAATACATTATGATTTAACTTATCTGTCATAGGTTATTTTATGCTGTTCTAGGTATATATCCAAACTTATTTTTATTTCCTACTGGAATTATTGTGTAACTTAAAATCATATTGATTGACCTGTTGAATTAAGAACTCTATTTTACTTTTTGTGCGTCACGCTTGAGTGATTCCGATTTGAGATTTGATACCCAATTGATGCTGAGTAGCAGATTAACAGTGTATTGAGATAATCGTTTGTTTTGTACCAATTCCTTTGTTTGAGCCTTAGGGCTAACCAGATAGTTTATAAGGAAATGATGGTAATCTGCTAAATGTGCCCTTAATATTGCAATTTTATTTCACCATGTATTTATGTTACTTTTAGTAATTAATTATGTTATTTCTTTAGGCTATGATTCATATATTGTTTCATATACTGTAACTTGTACCGGCTGACCTGAATGTACTTATACCCGGCAAAATAGTAAGTTTAACGGTTAACATTGCGAGTGATATTTCAGAAATATATTTTGATTACAGATTGTTTTATGAAAGTCATGTACACATTTATAGCATATTCAATACGTTAATTAATCAAAAGGTTATACTTGTTAAGCTATACCTGTATCTCATGTTGTTATGATTATGAATATTGATAAAGCTGGTGTTTAAAGGAGAAATGAAGGTTATAATGTGCAGTCAAAGGTTAATTTGGAATCTGAATGTTATTTTGTTATGCTGTTTACTTTTATACATATTTGATAATTCTTTTCTGCATTCCAGAATCGAATGAGAGATATTTATTAAACTTCATATCGAACTCAACCGTGGTGTTTGTACATTGTGCTAACCTGTGTGTGTTGGTAAGGTATACGGACACAAACCACCCAGGACATAAACCACCCAGGACATAAACCACCCAATTGGAATATACCATTGTTAAAGTGGGTGGGCAACAGGGTGAACAATGTTGGGTGGTCTTGCTTTTATCTAGCTTTACAATAGGAC